GTCCACACGTGTTTAGAAAGAACTGAAGATGGGTTCTCGTACAACGGGCCACTTCACAAGCACTGTCGATGTCACCTCGGCTGGTGATGAAACGTTTGCAAACAAATTGACAATCTCGGAGAACAGGTGAAACGGAAATCATATATTCCCAAAATTACTTCTGAGTAAGACTAACTTTTCTACAAGTGCCAAGTTTAGGAAAATTCTGTCAACAACGAGAGCAGCGGACGACACGTACGGTCAGAGTTTTGCAGTATTATCATCAAATTAGGGATACAAAGTGAAGTACAATACTAATGATTGTCGTCTTTCCACACAGGTGGTGGAACACCATATGACGACTGTCCGAAAACATGGTCAGGGGCGGGTGTCTCCGATTGTGGTTGTTCACTCTTCCCTTGCCCCTCCCGAAATATCCTATAAGACTAAGCGTCCTAAATAGTTTCTGCTGAGGAAGCCCTATTCAGTGTCTTTATGTGGCGGACGTGTTTCCCAACAATGTGAGGATTAAAAGCCAACATGAGCGGCTATGATAAGGTTGGTGAACCCAACGGAGTTTTAGTGTGATGAATAGCAGACGGGGAAATCCCCAGTCACGAGGACCCGATAGGTCAAGCCTGGTATTGGACCGGATGACAGCAATGCTGTCTAAACCCTTTGATTTTGAACCCATCAAGAAGAGGGGTACGAACCACACACGTCTTCCCACTTCTTCCAGTGGTCTAAAGTTCGATTGAGCATCGGACCGTATTGGATACCTTGGACATTCGACCCCGTCCAAAGAGCGTGTGACCCGATGAACTGGACATCGGCCCCCAATGGATTACGGTTTTAATAAACCAGCCCGCCGACTCGAGGACCAGGCTTGAGGTAGCCAAAGACTCCGAATGCGAATCACCCGTGAAAATTCACCTTCTCTGGGTGGAAAACGGTTAGGCCGTCGTCCGGGTCAGTAACACCGCCTACCCATTGGGACCTTATGTGATTCTCCACTCCAAACTCCAGGGATAGTTTACCGGTTACCTCTCATCTCACTATGAATACTACGACAGGATTACTTCTCAAACGCACTCTCAATCGCCATTCGCACTCACTAACATTTGCAGCTCGATGCACAATATTGATTCTGCAAATCAATTTGTTCAATCCACTTCTCCTTTTGCTCTATTTTCATCCCAAATACAATTTTACAGACATCAACCATCTTCAGTTTCCCAATTATTCTCTTCACACTTCTTTCGTCCCCAAAGCTGGTGTTTATGCATTCATCCATCATCCCATTGTTTCTACCCCGTTCTCCCATTTAAATCTCACCAACCGCGAGTTCCAGACTGTGTAGCTGAAACGTCTGTTCCCTTCTTTCAAGCACTACTTCTGCACTTTTATCGGCAAACATAGATAGCATTGTTGAAGTAGACCCCAACGCTCAGTTCACAATATTGGGTGATTTAATGTCCATACCAGAGATTGGCTTATACACTCTTCAGGGATATCGCCCATAAAATCATTTACTCTCTTAGACAGCCTTCACCAACTAGTCGATTTCTCGACCGTGCTGGCGACCACACCCATACCCTCGATCTTGTCCTCACATTTAAATGTTGCAAAAATTCCTTCCCTGGACTTTTTAGAAGTGTCTTATTTCGCTCTCTTTTTTTATTACGCACCTAGGTGTGATGAACAGCAGACGGGGTAAACCCCATAGTCACGAGGACCTGCTGTACAGTGGTCTTAATCGGCAACCTAAGCGCCGGAATTTGGAGTGGCGAACCACATAAGGCCCCGATAGGTCAAGCCTGGTATTGAACCGGACGACAGCAGAGCTGCCTACTACCCAAATTAGCTGTTCTACTGTTCCTCTCAATTCTCAACGCACATTCCGGCGATACGGCCCCGCTGATTGGTGCGCCTTTTGTAACTTTCTGGCTTCCTACCCCTGGAATGAATGCTGTTTCTCCGCCGACGTCACTATCTCAACTTCGAAATTTCCGGTTTTCTGTGAGATATGCATCTATTTATTGCTCATTTCACTAAACCCGACAAACTTCTTTCTCCAGAATGGTTTAACCACACCTATTGTAGTACTGTTCGTAAAAAGGAAGCGTTCTGTCGTTGGTGTCGTTTACCTTCCATTGCTCCCGTCGATGGTTCTTGTTAACACGCAACGACTGTAAAACCATCATAGAGAAAGCTAAGGAGCACTTTGCTGAGCGCAAAGAATAGTTATCAACCGGTTTTTCTGGAAACCAGACGTTCTGGTCACTTGTTAAGGCAGCCTCCCGTAACTTTTGTTCCACTACCTTCCCAGCCATTATTAAACCATCTGGTGACTTAGTGTCCCACCCGTTTGAAAAAGTCTGTTTGTTTTACCTCCAGGTTTACCCTACTCGGATCGCCCATCCAAACCTCCACATACCCTACGACGAACCATCTTTTCACACCGCTCATTTTCTGCCAGAAAGATACGCCAGATCCTCTTATCGCAAGACCCACACAAGCCACCTGGGCCCGACGGGATTCCATCCATCGTCATTAAAATGTGCGCCCCAGAACTGGCTACTCTCCTACACTACATATTCTCTATATGCCTTGATTCGGAGATATACCCAACTCCATGGAAAATATCAGAGATATTCCCCATTCCCCAAAGCGGCGACCACTCACACCAGAACAACTATCGCATCATTTCTCTCTCATCAGTCATTTTGAACGTTATCGAATCAGTCGTTGCTGATCAACTCCGCCACCACCTGGAGTAGAACAATATGCTTAGCGACCGTCGGTACGGTTTCCGATCCCATCGACCTCCCGATGACCTTCTGACGTTCATTCTGCACACATGGTCAGCTGCACTCGACAACCAAGGAAAAACCCATATGGTGTCATCGAAAGCTTTCGATTGTCTCCATTTTCTCTTCGACTCTATTTTCACCTTTCCTGTCGTTCTCCCATTGCTTCATTCAAATGAGCAGCCAAAATACAGCAACCAAAATCGGCGTACAAAAGTGTATGGTTAATGGTTGTACGAACTAAAACTGACTGTCTTGAACACGGGTCTGCTGGCTAAACTATCCAAGGTCGGCTTTCTTTCGGAACTAGTGTCCTAGACAGCAAGCTATTTCAAGCACCGCAGCATCTCTGTTCGGGTAGACGGGACCATGTCTCGTTCCGTGACTGTGAATGCTGGTGTTTTGTACGTTCCTGTTCCCTTTTTCTGTTTATTGATAACCTTCTTCCTTAGATTTAAAATCCTATTCATGACGCTACCCCACAGCCTTCCTTGTCTTTTTCCTCTTCATGCATCGCTAACCCCATCTCTAGTGATGACCGCTCATCCCTCAGTTTTTCCCCAACTTC